CCCCCCCCCCCCCCAATTTGCATTAATTCGGTTCTTACCGCAATCTTTTTAAGGTCTGCATCTCTTTCTTGTTGTTTCAACCGTTTAGCTCTTTCCTCTTTAATTCTCTTGAGCTCAGCCTGTTTAGCCGCCTCCTCCAGTTCGTTCAACGGCTTCTTTTTGGTGCAGGCGTTACAGTTCTTTCTCCAGGAGAAATTATAGTTTTGGCATTCACACAACCAATCTCCAGGCCTCTGCTCCTCTGGGGGCTTATCCTTCTTCTTCCCCTTCTGCCCTACACTGTAGGCATGAAGCAGACCTCCTTCTATGACAGGCAGGTTGGTTAAACCCTTTATTCCACCTTTATCTGGGCCCCGGAGACCACCGAGATCAAGATCATCAGCGTTCTTCGCCGTTATCTTCGCAGCCTCTAGAGCCTCGGCATAAGCTTTCCTCTTGGCCGCATCACGCTTAGCGTTGATGGAGGCTAGAGGATCATCTTCATCTTCCTCCTCCCCTCCTCCTTCTCCTTCATCCTCCTCGTCAGAATCCCCTTCCTTCACGTTCTTAGGACCAGTAGGTTGAGGTCTAGGCCCGGCAGGAACCATGTGCATGTGGATACATTTAGGACCGTAGGTACAGTTCCCCGAGGAGAAGTGAGCACACTGTTTACCTGATGTACCCTGAGAAATACAAACCATGTTGGAGGGAGCTCCACTGGGTCCTATTGGTCCAGGGAACCTTGGCATTGGACCACCAAACCTGGGTGGGCCCATTGGGCCGCGAGGTCCCATACCCATTGGGCCACCTGGACCCATTCCCATTGGACCTCTTGGTCCCATCTGTCCTGGCCCCATCGGCCCTCTGGGTCCCATTGGACCCTCAGGCCCTCCTTGTCCCATTTGCCCCCCCGGTCCCATCTGTCCACCAGGACCTCCTTGCCCCATTGGCCCTCGTGGTCCCATTTGACCACCCGGACCTCCTTGTCCCATTGGCCCTCTTGGTCCCATTTGACCACCAGGACCTCCTTGTCCCATATTACCTCCGGGTCCTCCTTGTCCATTTTGTCCCATAGGACCACCAGGCCCCCCTTGTCCCATAGGTCCACCCTGTCCCATTGGCCCGCCAGGACCTCCGTGTCCCATTGGTCCACCAGGACCTCCTGGTCTCATTTGTCCACCAGGCCCTCCTGGTCCCATTGGTCCGCCAGGACCTCCAGGTCCCATAGGTCCACCTGGACCTCCGTGTCCCATTGGTCCGCCAGGCCCTCCGTGTCCCATAGGTCCACCCGGTCTCATTGGTCCACCAGGCCCTCCCGGTCCCATTGGTCCGCCAGGTCCCATTGGTCCTCCCATACCGCCTCTTCCTCCATACCCTCCACGGCCTCCAAAACCTCCTCTGCCTCCATAACCTTCCCCAGGTGGACCTCCGTCACACTCTCCAGGAGGACCATCTTCATATCCTTCTTCTTCTCCTGGAGGTCCATTGAATCCCATCGGACCAGGGCCTCCAAATCTTGGTCCTCCGAAACCACCACGTGGTCCACCAAAGCCCCCTCTAGGAGGCCCAAATCCTCCACGATCACCTCCAAACCCTCCTCTTTGTCCTCCACCTGGAGGGCCCTGAAATCGTCCTCCGAAGCCTCCTCTTGGTGGACCTCCGAATCCTCCTCTGTCACCTCCGTAACCTCCTCTATCTCCCATAAAGCCTCCGCGAGGCCTGAATCCCCCCGGGCCTCCAGGTCCCCGCATCCCATATGGAGGTCCTCCGTCCATACCTTGTGCAGCGAGGAAAAAATAGTATTTTTCTCAAAGGTTCAAATGTTTTTGTTTAATTTATCACTAATAAATGTTCATCCTTAAGATAGCCTGATGTGCGTTGATCTGAAAAATACATTAATATTGAATATCAAAGATTATATGGAGAGAATATAGTTTGAAGAAAAATAGTCACAAACTTGAAAGATTTTTCCTTCAGAAAATGTTAGGACTATACAGACCAGAATGTAGGACAATAATATGAACCTGAATCACAATTTCTATGAACATTTAATTATTATTTAATATAATTATCTCAAGACTAAACTATGAACTAAAACTATGAAACATGGAATGGCTGGATAAAGTCTTCAGGGGCCGCAAAATTATTGTAAATTCAGTTTTAACCAGAAAACTGTGGAACGAGTTTTTTCTTTTCTCTTTCTTTTACTTATGAAACGTCGCTTAGAATTTGGTAATTTCTTAAAAATTTTAAACAACTAAAAATTAAGAAATCCTAGGCAAAAATGTTTAATTAAAAGAAACAAGAAAACTCAAATATTCACTCCGCAGTTTTCTTTTGAATGAGTGAAATGATAAATATTAATTTTCAAAAGAAAGAGGGTTAAATTGAATTGAATACTAAGTTAAAGAATTTCGATTGATTTTTTTTAGAAGATACACCTTTCTCAAAAGGTCTCGGATCTATGCATTTAGTATTCGATCAAATGAAAAATAAGCAGAGGAGAGGAGGGGGGGATTGGGATTGGGAATTTCAGAATTTAAGAAACAAGGAGTAAAGTTGAACAATCTAAAAGATATCGGCATATTCTAAAAATAATCTACCGACGTTAAAAAAAAGGGAGGGAGGGGGNGGAGAATGATCAACATAACAGTACGAAAATTACTTTATCAAATTATCTTGGAATTAGAACTGAGCTCAGAAATACATTGAATTTGTAATTAACACCAGCACGGTGTTTCGACACAATAAGGACGACTAATTTACTCAAGGCTGTTAATTAACCATAAACACAAATCATATACAGAGTGTCCCATATCATATTGGATAATATTCAACCTTTAACAACAAATAACGAGACTCCTCACAAAACCCTGTATTTTCTGAAAGCAAATGCCTCTTACACTTTTTTCTTTTTTTGTTTAAAAAATCCATGTGCATTGTGCGCATTGTGCACATTGCACAATCCACTGTGATGTGGGCCACTCTGTATGTACATGGCAGCTGGTAAAATTCAACGTGTAATTAAATATTCAAGATGCTGTTTATACTACCCAACTGGACAAAATTGAATATACAGGAGTAAAATAAACATAGTGAATAAAAGACAGTTTTTTCCTCCTGAAACCTTCAAATCCGGGAAACCCTTCTCCAAAACAGTCCGCGCCAAGGGCAGATTCGTCTGTATACTCCTCACCCTCAAACTCGTCACCTTGATACTCGTCCTCCTGAAAATTTGCATTGTCATGTTGACATTTTTAAGATTTAAATTTTTAATTGAAGCGCGAACAAACAATCAACAATGAAAAGGTAAGAACGTGGGGGGGGTGAACTTTATTAAACTGTCAGGGGGGCAGGTGGTGGATATCCCAGAAAGTTGACCTGCCCCTTTTAAAATCTTTAAAATGAGGCTCCGGGGCACAGTGTAGAGAAAGTGGACATTGATCTGATTAAATTGACAAAAAGAGGCCTTTGCTTACATTTTGCAGCGAAATTACAAATTATATAAAAACAGTTTAACAAAACACTATTATTTTTATAAAACTTAACATTTCCATTTTATACATTTTTCTAAGTTTTCCTTTTTTCATATGTTTTAAGTTTCAAAACCTTTAAAGAGATTCAAAAAGAAACTAGAGTATAGTATATCTTTCGGAAGTGTATACTGTATATCCACTAAAGTTATTTTGAACCATGTCTCAGCCTGCACTTTCACATTTTTTCAGTTATTATCATTTTATTAGAATTCACTTTATGATTTGACTAACAAAGACGACCTATTTTTTATAAAAGTCGTCTTACTTAATTCTTAATTTACAAATTTCTTTTCCAAAATACCGATTTATTATATGATTTCCATTAATTTTGTTTAGAAAAGATATTCTAAAAAACAATAATTAACTTATTTGTTTAACATTTTTAAACTTAACTATACATGTTTGATCAGAATAAGCCCCTTATACGTGTCACTGGGGGGCAACATACAAGAACTTCACACATGCAAAGAGATTTTAGTTCTCTTCGTTAATGCCTTTGATCTCACCCTCCCAATCAACTCCCTACATAACCCAAAGCATAATTTGATGTGCGTATCCAATTATATTCATTATCGTTAACTAACTTAGAACCAACCACTTAAAACAACCTACCCTGGTTAGGCGGGTCCAAACTGCATAGTAAATTGTGATTGCTTATTTATAATATCTCATACTTTGTAGTTCAATGAATTATAAAAATATGAAATCTTTCTTGGATAAAAGCTAGTTAACCTGTTGGTTGTGTTCCGGAATTTTGGTCGGACATCTGTAAACACTGATCAGATATTTTTCAGAGTCTTTAATCTTCCTCCCATTATCCTCATCCTGCAACAGAAAGGTTATTAACTTATGTGTAAACTAAAGGTCAATCTCAATATTCGTTGCATGCACGATTCACAACGGTACACATGGAACTATTGATTTAAGTGAAAATGATAGAGATACTCTTGTTTCTATTTCTATAAGTGACTTTTGAATTTATACAATTTGCAGTGGATATGAGAAGGAAATAGAAAGAATTTGACACTTTTTAAAGTAGAAAACGTCGATTAGATATTAAAATTATTTCATTTCTTAACAATTTTAAATTCCTCCGTCTCAGTGCAAATATATTTAAACATGATTTTATAAGGGGCGGGGGAGGGGTCAATATAAACTAACGTAAATATTACCTGAAGTGGATGATTAAAGACTGGTGGCTTAACATCAATTATCTCATGGTTCTTTGTTAATCTCGTTTTACTGTGCGCTTCCTTGCAGGTCCCACACATATAGTCATTACAGTCCTCAATATTACATTAAGATTAAGATTAAGATTAAGATCAAGATTAAGATTAAGATTAAGATTAAGATTAAGATTAAGATTAAGTTTAAGATTTAGAATAAGAATAAGAATACGAATAATAACAACAATAAGAACCAAAACGAAAACAAGAACAAGAACAAGAGTTAAATCTATTCAACACTTAAAATTTGATTTTTTAGATCCACCATTGTTTTCTCCAAATTTTCCTCTCTGATCTTGGATCCGGATCTTGGTTTTGCATATTTTTTGCGGATCCAGAACCGGGTATTAATATTTTCCGGATCCTGATCCTAAGAACTAGATATTCCTTGATGAACAATAAAATTAACCTAACTCAGCCTAAGAATATTATTGTACATCCAACTGTCCTGGTTATTTATTTAACTGAATTGGCCCACAGTGAAGAATATGTAGAATTTGATAACCGAGCATCATTGTATAATTAAGAAAGGGAGGGTCTACCTTGCATTTAGCTAGAGCTTGTTGGACCTTCCCTTCCTCCTCACATGACGAGCAGAGACGCAGCACGAACCTCTCCTTCTCCTCTTCAGTTTCAGGTTTTAAGTCAAAATCCCGGCCATACTCGGGGTCAGCGTTAGATCTGAACGTACAGAACACTTAAAATCTTTGAAATTTGTTACGAGTCAATTAATCAATCAATCACTTCAGATACAAAAAAGGAACTCAATGTGTAACCCCTGGACCCCAAGAGTAATTAAATAACTTTTAAGATGTAGCGACCTTATCAAATCAAATCATGCTAAACATTTATATCAAGGGGCGAATAAACCCCCCCCCCCATCTCGTGATATTGCACTAAGCAGTGATTTTCTAAGCTATAAATATTAAATTACGTCTTAACTCTACAGTTCCATTAAATAAAGTCTTTTGACACACATCACAAACCTGAAGGTCTCTATCACAGTTCCGTTCCACAAAAACTTCCCTAGTCGACTGTTATGCCGCTCTCCCTAAATATAATAATTTTTTTGATATTTCACAATGATATGTCTTATTATCATTATTAAGGACAACCCGTCGGTTGTTCAGTGAAGCGTTAATGAAAATTCAAAATCTAATTAACAATTAGTGTAATTGTAACCATTTAACATGATTTTTTATAAAAATAAAAATTAATAATTTATCAGAAATCCCCGCGCGAGGAAAAGGTGTGTTCAACAACTCATTTTGATCCTGGATTTACATAATACTTTTGTGGATTCGGATCCCTGCATCCACATAATGCTTTTGCGGATTCGGATCCGTGCATCCACAGTCCACATAATACTTTTGCGGATTCGGATCCCTGGATCCACATGATACTTTTGCGGATTCGGATCCCTGGATCCACATAATACTTTTGCGGATTCTGATCCCTACATCCACATAATGCTTTTGCGGATTCTGATCCCTGGCTCCACATAATACTTTTGCGGATTCCGATCCCTGGCTCCACATAATACTTCTAAACGACCATCATCTTCCTTATGAGCATATTAAGGATCCAGGGGTACAGAGTTTACATTCTGGATGGTTGAAGTTGACCAATTTTGATGGGAAAATAAAGTTGATTTTCATTATTTTCAATAATGCACGAAACAGAAAAATTCACGAAAATTTGAGAACGATTCTATATAGCGTTTTTAGAACAACAGAAGTGTCTTCCTATTCCACATATTTATGAGTCCCACTGTAATCATGTTGAATAAGATAGTCTGCTCCACGTATCCTACCTGTACATGTTGAATAAGATAGTCTGCTCCACGTATCCTACCTGTACATGTTGAATAAGAAAGTCTGCTCCAAGTATCCTACCTGTACATGTTGAATAAGGGAGTTTGCTCTAAGTATTCTACCTGTTCATGTTGAATAAGATAGTCTGCTCCAAGTATCCTACCTGTACATGTTGAATAAGGGAGTCTGCTCCAAGTATCCTACCTGTACATGTTAAATAAGAAAGTCTGCTCCAAGTATCCTACCTGTACATGTTGAATAAGATAGTCTACTCCAAGTATCCTACCTGAACATGTTGAATAAGGGAGTCTGCTCCAAGTATCCTGTGCCCGCAAACATCACAATAGAACACCTTCTCACACCCCCACACATCTTTGGAGGAGTACATCGGAGGAAACCCGCCTCCCTTCAACACCTTCTGCAGGATAAACAGGTCCAGGGGGGCCAGCACTTGCTCCTTCCCCTTCTCCAGCACTACCTTAACTATACCTAAACCTGACGCGTACGTCAGCCGACCACTGGTTTCAGGAGCAGCTAGGCGGGTCAACTCACGATTTCTAAAGATTTTTTTAAGTCAGAGAATTATTCAAAACTGGATCTACATTAAAACCCATTTGTCAGTTTGGTCTATTTTTAGATGTTCTTAAAGATCTTAAAGGGACTGTACTAAACTAAACGAAACGAAATAAAACGAAACGAAACTAATCCAATCCAAACCAAACCAAACCAAACCAAACCAAACCAAACCAACCCAAAATCTACCTGATAAATGATTTAAGATGAAGTGTGGTATAATGTAAACTATCCTCTACAGTATCCCCTATAGCTGAGCAACTGAATCCTCCCAGCTTGACGGTCAACTCATACAGCCGTTTACCATGCTTTAATCCATCTCTACAATTAGATAGAATAAACAAGCAGTTTTATCAGATGCCAATCGGCAAGTAGCCAGTTGATCAAATAAGATAATGAATGAAGGCACTGGCAGGGGTGTTCATTTTCTTGAAAATTCTTCCCCCTCTTAAATATAGTTTATGCAAATGTACTTACTTTTGCTCTAATCTGACATGCTTGAGGTTATATTTAGGAGGACACCAGGAGGATAGTGAGGCAGGGAGGAGGCTGGCAATATTTTCATTTGTTTTATCAATCAATCCAGAATCCAACCAAGGGCCTGACTCCTTAAGAATCTTGAGAGCGCATTGATCCATTGCTTCAAGTCTAGATTTAGCTAGTCCTCTAGCCGTTAAATAGTTGTAGGTTACTTTCATCTTAATACTGTCCAAAGACAAACCTAGAAAACAGGAAATAATGAAGGAAAAAAGGTTAGTACCAATTACGCACTTTTCTACAAATGCTCGAATAGTTCTAACCTGGTACTTCAGTATGCTCTAACTCTACAATGAGCTGACTACTAGAACGATCAGCTTCTTCTTGTAGAAAAAGTGCAGGATCTTGGAGGAAAACTCCTTCCTTCCAGAACTCGGTGGATCTGCAGACAGCCAGGGATGCAAGTTTATTAAAGAAAGGACAATACACAGGATTCTTAGACCTACTCTTTCCAAGTTTACTTCCCCCCCCCCCCCCGACCTACTCTTTCCAAGGAAAACTTCCCTTCCCTCAGACAATATAACAACTTTAATTGAAGTAACTTTTGTTATACATAATTCCCATCCCTGCGTTGAGTGTACAAATCCGGCATTTCAATCTTCTTCCAATATTCAACATCTTTTGGTCCAAGGTCCTAAAAGAGAAAGGATGGGGTCATTCAATTTTCAAATGATATTTCTGAGGAAAAAGATACCAATATTTTTTTTTTTTTCATTGAGAACGTTTAAAACTGTGAGAGAAGGAATCTCAACATGTTGATATGATTAAGTAGGTCCGAACTAATCATTTTTTAAGATCAGATCAGGGAATAAGATGATGTTTGTTAGGATCTGAATATGGATACTACGGATCGACTAGATCCAAATGATTTCCTCAAGATTTCAGAAACCGGATCTTAGAACAAAAAAATATCATATTAAACAAAAACTTTTTGTTTATAAAAAACCAAATCTTTATTGCTGGCTCATTGATTTTTCAGCAAATAGATAGAATAGAAATAAGAAATTAAAAGTTTTTGAAGTATTACTATCATAAAAATAAAGTAGTTTATATTTAATATTTTTTTCAACTACAAAGCATGAGATATTACACATAAGCAATCACAATTTACTATGCAGTTTTGACCCGCCTAACCAGGGTTTTGAGTTGTTTTGAGTGGTTGGCCCTAAGTTAGTTAAGGATAATGAATATAATTGGTTACACATATCAAGTTATGATTTTGTATAGGTAAGGAATTGATTGGAAGGTAGGAGATAGTCAGGTGATCTGTGGCAGGGTGAGAACAGAGGCATCAATTTAGAGATAATTTAAAATACAGGGTGTAAAGGATGGTGAATACACAAACACAAATAAGCTAATAAAGTTTCAGGTTATTTTAGTTCTTTTTTAAAAAATCTACTCACATGACATACAACTATGTTGCATTTAAACCTCTCATGATTCTCAAGATAAATATTGATTTCTCTTTGTTGATATGGTGTCCAAATGAAATTGAATAAAATTAGCGTATTTAACTGTTTTCAACAAAATAATGAACTCACCTTAGTGAAGGGTTTATCGAACTTGAGAGCTGGAAGTTTAAGAGGAACCATCCCCGGAGGTCCCTCTTCTTCATCCTCATCATCGTCCTCGATCTGGTAGCCAAAACTTGGAGGTAGGGGTACCTTGGCCTCTTTATTCTTGATTCTTTCAACCTGGTATACATTTTAATTGTCGAGATAAAACAAATAATTTCTAAAATATTAATATTAATATAAAATATTAATTTCAAAAAATGAAACGTTTTCATTTGAAGGAAGTTGCAGCAACACCTGACTGAAAAAAGTTAACATCTTAACATGAACTTTAAAATAATTGGACGGAGATGTAAAATCTTGTTTCTGTATTTGTAATAAAACGTAACTTTAATACAGAAGGGATATCCAAAAAGAGCGGATTAAGCTGGAATAAAAAGTGTCTACAATGAATATTCAGACTAAGCTATAGGGATTATATGCATCCTATTCTAAAGTTCCCGGCTCAGACCCGCCCATCCTGTCATGATCATGAGTACCATGTCTTGGTAACAACTATTGAGTTGTCCTAATCCAGTAAAATTTAAACAACTTCTTTCTCCTTAGATTAATCCTCTTTGCAAGGTTGAATATGTAAGTTTAACCTCTGTTAGAAAGAACGCAGCAGCTCCTGATCGTCTTATTCCGCCTCCTCCTGCTCCTTCTCCTACACTATCTAGCTGGGGACCTGGAGATGGTGGTCTAGGTGAAGCAGGAACCGGTTTGGTAGGTTTAGGAGCTGACAAACTAAACTTTATCCCCCGCGGAGTTACATTTACAAAGTTCTTGTCCCCGAACTCCGTTGCTGGCTCCGTATCTTCGGTTGGGTTGGTTGGATCATACTCTGATGGTTCTTGAGCTCCAGGATTATCTCTGGACAGGTATTCCTTAAGTCTGGAGACAAGAGCAGGTTTGTTTCCTTTTGTGTCTAATCCTCTCTCTGACAATGCGTCTCGTAGCTCCACAACCTAAATATTAAAAGGATTAAACACACAATAAAAACAAATCATTGATTCACCAAATTATCTAATATATGATTTTATGTTTATATCTAAAAATCCATATTTTTGTACAGGCGTTATCCTCAAAATCGTCTTGTAACATTCTACTTATTTACTTTTGACCATTCATAACTTTAATGGGTGGGGTCATATGCACACTCTGAAATATAAAGGCCAACTCGTTTCAGCCATTTTGACGTTTATGTAATGAAAACAAACAAAAATCAATTAAGAGACCAACAGACAAACCAAAATTATCTTTTTGGATTATAATACGAATTATATAAAAAAATTAAATGAATTTTAACTTTCTAGAAAATGTGGATGTTAATAAAAATTGTACTTTCAGATCACATTTTTCAATCTTGACAACAAGGGTCAAAAATTTCCACGTGCCACAAGTTCCTAACAGCATGAACATTGAACATTTGTCTAAACTTAACAAAATTGTAATGTGTTGTTTATCGTTAACTGAGTTTTGTTGGAAAGATACGAGTTTGTAAAAAAAGCGTCAATTCAAGTGACCTTCGATGCAAAGATGACAATGCCCGATTCACAACGGTACCCTTACAAGCTTGGTCTAAACAAGTAGAATTATAATTTTGAGAACTGATAACTTTCAACTGCGATTTCTCCACAAAAGAGACTTTCGCAATGCGAAATATATGAAACTCATCAGAATAAACCCCTTTTTTTAAACTTAAGAAACCGACAATATCTTCCACAATTTTGATCAGATAAAGTTATCAAGGGTACCATTGTGTATCGGACATTACCATCTTTGCATGGAGGGTAACTAGAAATTACGTTTTTAGTCTCTTAAATCTTTAAACCTATTTGCAAAAATATACAGACCTTAAGACTGTCTGGATTTATGTCCGTCATTATGTTTCCAAGAATAAAGAAATTCTAAGGATCATCTGAAAATTAAAAATTAAATGTTTAAAAGATGAAATGATGGTGCTGAGGAGCGGAATGCTGTGCCGCCTGAAAAGCATGAAATGTAAAAAAGGATTGTTCCCAATTTTCAAATATGATTTAGGTCCAACAATAGATTATTAAATAATCTTAAAACGGGTTTTTTTTCTTTGAGAAAACATCAGTGCAACATAGAAAAGGCTTCCTTGTTGTTCTTAAAAACCGTAACCTGTCCCTTTATGTAGTTGACCAGACAAACACTTCTAATCTGAACCAACATAAAGGAATAGAAGCAGAGTTTACAAACAAAATACTTGATGAACAGCTGATACCAACTGATATCAACCATATCAACCATTAGAATTATACAATTTACACGAACCGAAATAAACAGAAATAAATTTTTACTGTTGAACAAAAAATCAAATTAAAAAATCAAATACACCTGACAATTTAACAAATTATAAATTGGATTAAAGAATAGGTTTTGTGCCTTTCGTATAAGTACATTTAAAAGCATGAAGTTTAGAATAAACGTACTGTATTTAACATACACTGGAATAACGAGAGTAAATAAATAAAACCACACAAATGGATGGAGCAATAACATAATTACAAGTTTTGGAAACACGAGACAATTTACACTGTACAGAATTTTAATTTTTAATTTTAATGGAGACATAAAACATCTAATGGAACTCCAACATGTACGGGAACTCCAACGTGTACGGGAACTCTGGGAACACTCAGTTACAGAATTTCTTTCACTGTACAGAACTCCACGCACAGGAACTCCACCTTTTAGAACCTACTCCAACCCCTATGTGAACTACTCCACCGGGTTTTACGTAGACGTTTACCACTCCCTAGGATACAAATGTTTGTTTTTTGAATTTGTTTTACTCACTCCACCAAACCATCCATTACTCAAATCCATAACTTGACGACTCCACCACATTCACCAGGTTCAACCAGATCCATGTACTCCATGTACGCCATGACCTCCATGTACTACACGTTACCCAGCTGTACGTTTACACACTTACTCTGAATCCTCGCCCTTTGCGTCTCCAATCCTAGAATACAGTACATAAGTCGGTTTCGGAGATTTTTCCATTCGCATTAAAAGGACCGAGACGCAATTTCAAGTGACCATATTCTTAAATAACCCAGGGCTGGGCCAATATGAATTTTTTCTCGAAAATTACCATCAGGCAGCAAAAATTGTTCATTTCAACTTTCAAAACAAAAGATTTTTTCAAATAGGTCAGCGCAAGCATTTAAAAAATCATTTATCACTATATGAGGTTGATTTACTAATTTTTTCGAAACATGGATATCTTAGTTGTGCCTTGAACCACTGAATATTACTATTTGTTGGTTTTTTGAAATTTTTAAAATTGTTTAATCTAGGGCCAAAAGACTAGGGGTTTTCAGGACGCTGGCAAATTTACACGAAAAATTCCATTTTTTGCAAATAACTGGTTGAATATTAAAGATTTTTAAGATTCTAACATTTTTCAATGCAGAATTCAGTAGTTTTCACTTCAGAATTAATATTTACAATAACGTGTTGAATGAATTTGAAAGTAAAAAAAAACACATTTTATTACAGAAACTTTTAAGACAAGTGCTGAAAGGATCTGAACATTATTTATCAAAAACAGAGTCAAATGGTCCCACTCTTTATTTAAAGAGTTAAAGGACACTTGCAATTACGCTTACCGTCCCTTTAAAGAAAGCTTGCCCAGTTCTACCTGAGACTCGGATCCTGGGCGCTTTCCTTGTCCTCCTTGCACTTGTTGCAGGCGTCCCTCGTCTTGAAGTTTACGTTTCCACACCTTCATTTTATACAACATTAGTTTGTTTGGGAGAACATGTGGAAATAAACAACTTTGACATGAGGAGATATTCGACAAGGCATTATATTTTTGAAGTTGGATGATATTCGACATGTGATAAATGACATGGAATGATATTCGCCATGAATATTCAACATTTAAGTGATATTCGCCATCATGTATGATATTGGATAATATTCGTTTGGCATAAGATGATATTTGCTGAGATATTTGATACGAGATGATTTTTGACTTAAGATATTTGACATGGGATACTTTCGACATAAGATATTTGACATGGGATACTATCGACATAAGATATTTGACATGGGATACTATCGAAATTGAAGATATTAAACATGGGATACTATCGACATAAGATATGTGACATGGGATACTAAAATAGACATAAGATATTTGACATGGGATACTATCGACATAAGATATTTGATTAGGATGTTACCTCCAGCAGTCCCAGTCTCCGTCCTTGATATTCATCATGTTCTTGACTGCGGGGATACCGAACTTCTCAAAGTTCGGTTTGGCCAGATTACAGCTCTCATTGTTCTTAGTCCCGTTACAACGCACCCTGGATTACAAAATATTTAAAAAAAATAATTATAAAAAAATTTGAAATTTAAAAATTAATGTTAAGATTGTTGTAACATTTAAATAAATAGCATTTGGATTGGAATTATTTTTCTTTTTGCTTTAAAATAATAATTGTTGATCCTTTATAAACCTTTTTTAAATTGGATAAAAACCTTGATGAGAAATTGAGGTTGTAGCACCGTGGACACTCCCAATCCCCTTGTCTTGGTTCGACTCCGCCCCTCCTCCTTCCTCCGGGCACGCCTCCACCACTCATACCTCCTCCCATACCTCCACTCATTCCCATACCTCCACTCATTCCCATACCTCCTCCCATTCCCATACCTCCTCCCATTCCCATACCTCCTCCCATTCCCATACCTCCCCCAATCCCCATACCTCCTCCCATACCCATGCCACTTCCCATTCCCATACCACCCATTCCCATGCCTCCACTTATTCCCATCTTGCTTCCCATATCATCAAGGTCCTAGAAGTAAACAGATCAAAATGGAGATTACCAAAAGTTACTTATAGTCTTCTTTGATTACTCGCTCTTTGATAAATTTCAGAGCTGAGTGATTTACCATAGGTTAAAAAGAATAATTGAAAGTGCAAAAATTAGGCTGTTTAAAATATGATATTTAAAGCAACATCAAAATGTTTAGCTTGGGCCGAGCCCTCATGCCCTACTCAGTAATACCGAGTCTTTTTTATGCTGTTAAGTATAAGCTGTCCTAAAACGTCAAATTGGGAACAACTATAATCACCTTCTTCTCGAAATCGCACTCCTTCCTGTTACACTTTTCACGGCGTGCATAGTTCATATTGTTGCACTTTGGACAATACCAGTCTCCATTCGGTTTCATCCTGATCAGGAGATAATATTTAGGGGGTACATACATTTTAACATTTAAAAATAAGAAGTTATTGACCCAGTTTTTATATAAGGTCATTTCGGAACTTTTATTGCAGCTTTGAACCTCAAAATTTGAGGCAAATCGGTCAAGGAGTCATTAAGTTATAACTGGAAATATGATAGACCAAAAAAAGAGAAAACCAGAAATTACCACTCTTGATATAAAGAAATGAAAAGAGATTGTTCTCCCAATTTCTGCCACTCATTCAACAGAAAGGTAAGCATTTCATATATAATCTTTAAATGTCAATAATTACATTGAATTGCTCGGCATTGACGGCATCATCGGCATGCGTGGCACGCTGGGCATACGAGGCATGCTTCCCATGCCTCCTGTCCCACTCGGTTTATCCATCTTACACTTATTGCACTGGTCCCTACGGGCGTAGTTCAGGTTACCGCACTGAGCACAATCCCAGTCTCCTGGTCGACGGCTCAGACCAGGTGGAAGCTCCTTGGGTTCTACTCCCCGACGGATATATTCAGGGCGCTTCTCAACCTAAATACGTTAACTTCAAAATAGAAAATGTCAAAGATTTCTCCAGTTTTATTTAAAGGATTTTAAAATAGAAAATGTCGAAGATTAACTATTTCAACAAATTAAGGACATTATGAGGGTGAACGGGGGAGGGGGGGGAGGTAAAAACTTTAAAGCGCTTTCACTTTTTCCAAATATTTTGAAAAAGGGGAAATTAATTTGAAGAAAATATATCCCCCTGTTTAAATAATTACTAACCTGGCATGCTCCAGCCTTGCCATTGCACTTCGCTCTACGAGCAAAGTTCATATTGTTGCAATCGGGACAATCCCAGTCACCAGGCTCTTTAGGGATACGCATATTGTAAGGAACACTCCTAAAATACGAATAGAAACATCAAGTCAAATCAAGTCAAACTGCTTAATGAGTCCATCATAAGGAAGAGAAGTTCAATTCCTTCCCATATTCTGGATTTTTATATTCGAAAGATATAAAATTAAGAATTGGTTTACAAGAAATGTACGCTTACCTAGAAGCTCCCATTCCCATTCCCATTCCTCCAGAGAATCCTCCCATCTTCCCTCCACCGTAGTTATCTCCGTAATCACTTCCCATATTTCCATACCCATTTCCACTCATTCCACCATATCCCCCTCCCATATTGGACCCCCCTCCCATATTAGATCCCCCTCCCATATCGTAGCTCATTCCTACTCCTCCTCCCATAGATTTCATCATATCCCCGCCTCCAGATCCGCCCCCGCTCTGCATCATTTTCATCTGCATCTGCATCATCTTCATCTGACCCATCAGCTCCTAAATAAATTAAGGGCTAAATAAAAAATCATTTTGGTGTGAGGGGGGATGGGCGTAAGTCTTAAAACCATATACCCCTGCCGAAATATTTATAAATTTTGCAACAACTGGTAAATATACAGTATTCCGGGTTAGATATAATCTGTAAACAATTAATTTGGTAATTTTCTAAAGAAGAATTTATGGACCCTCCGGCACGGCCCTCACCCCCCTACATCAAAAAATATAAATGGTTAGATATGACTAGTGGCCGCAGCGCCATGTCCCATAACCTGTCCTAGCCGCGACTAGGACAGGCTAACCCAACTGGGTTTGTCCTTAAGAACGATTTTTGGACCCCCGCTTCCCCCTCCTATCAATTTTCAGCAAAATTATTATTATTTATTTTATTGTTTTAGGTTAAAGGTTAAGACATTTCTGGGCGGAGGGCTGCGGCCAAGACAGGCCAGGGGGCTGGGCGCTACGGCCACTTGACCAATTATAACCATGTGTTACATAGGAGATCCATGTACAAAATTGATACGAGGATGGGAGGGGGGGGGGGGGGGGGCGGGGTCCTAAAATCGTTCTCTAGGAAACTACCAACCTAACCCTATTATATTACAAGCTCTTCATATACTTTGACCATGTACATTTATTGATGAAAGAGGGGAGGGGGGGGGCACAATCTTTATTTAGAATTAAGCCATTAATTTGATATTTTAAACCATTCTTATTGTGTCTTAATAATTACCAGATTTTAAAGGTCAACTAATATTAGAGACTATTATTGTCTTAACAAATGTATAAATATGGAACGATTACTTTTAGATATATTTTACTAGACCTAAAATAGTATGTATTGTATAAAGGCGCACCACTCAATCGGACAATGACCTATTTAACTATTTTAGATGATTTTAAAAAAGATAAAACAACAAAAGAACCCCGCCGGGGAAAGTTTGAAAAATAATTACACTGAAATCTTACAAGACGCGTTGCAATATTAAATTGTTGGTGATTTCCTGGAGAACGATTTTTGGACCCCCCCTCCCCCTGCCTATCTTATATGTAACACATGGATTTAATTGGTCATGTCGCCGCAGCGCTCGGTCCCCTAGCCACGGTGCTCGGCCCCCTAGCCTGTCCTAGCCGCTGCAGCTCTCGGCCCAGTAATTGTCATAACCTAACCCTAAAATAAAAAACTAATAATTTTGCTAAAAAATAAGTGATCATGTACACAATTAATATGAGGGGAAGGGGGGGGTCCAAAATTTTTTCTTCAGGACAGACCCAAATTGTTCATGATTTACCTCATTTATTTTCCTCTGCTCTTCAAGTAAATTATTCATTGGATTCATTTTGAAAACTTCAGAACAAATTCTTACTTCTGAAACAAAAACTCGTTGTCTTTGTAATTTTAAAATATAATACTTCACTACAAACTTCTATTGCAGCATAGAGATGGTTTAATCCTAGAGAGGAATCGTCACAAATATTTGTTATTTTACTAGAATTTCGGTAATAAACGGTATCTGTAGAAAGCATGACGCGTCCTATATAGAATGCCCCGCAGGATTTTGTAACTCTAAATTGAAAACAGCAAAATCCAGGATGACGACAATAAAGGAGTGGTGTATTTTTCGACCTATGCAAATCCGCTATACTCCACTTCTGACTTATGTAATATTACCAATAAAAGGTGAAATATCGTCTGAACTAATGATTGACCAGAACGTACATTCATACTAACGTTCATTCGCACTATAGTGCGACTGAACAATTAATTACCTACTATCCTGAAAACCTAAAAATACCGAAGTCTCTATATAGGTATACGTATTAATAGGTATTTTTACGTATAAATACGTATGCTCGACTTTTGGGTAAAGAACTTACGTATATTTACGTCTATTTACGTATTTATCATACCAAGCAATTTTTTAAAAATGCTTTGGTTTTCCGGAAACGTATTTATACGAAAAATTACGTATACATTTTACCAATTAATTTTTCTAAATTTTTTAGGTTTTTATTTTACGTATTTTACGCATTTTTTAGGTTTTTTCTTTACTTAAAAATTGTATTTTTTTCAAGTTTAAAAGTTTGATGCAAACCTAAAAAACGTAAATTTCATACCAATAAATTTTTCAAAGTTTTTAGGTTTTTATTTTACGTATTTTTTGGTTTTTT